GTCTGAGACCTTGGGCAGCTCCTGGCCCTGTGCGGGCCTCGGGAGAGCCGGCACTGGGTGTGGTGTCCCTGGAGCCTGTGCAGCTCTTGCACTCTGCTGTCCACCTCCACAGGCATCTTTGTCATCGGGTTCAGCTACCCTGTGGTTCCCAAGGGCAAGGCGCGGATCCGGGTCCAGATCTCAGCGGTGCACAGCGAGGAGGACATTGACCGCTGTGTGGAGGCCTTCGTGGAGGTGGGGCGCTTGCACAAAGCATTGCCCTGAGTGCCGGGCACAGCGGCAGAACCAAGATCCCCTACTGCCACCGCAAAAAGGGGGGGCTTTTGATTAGGCCAGAGGCTCTAACCCCTGACCCCAAATCCTGAGCTGGCTCAGAGAAGGCCTGTGCTTGTGCCACGAGGGTGTGAGACAACAGTGTGAGACGTGCTGTGACTCCGGTCTGCTTTATTCTCTGTGAGGCCCAGTCCGGTGGTGGGGTAGACAGGAGCCAGGATTGCAAGGAAGCCTCCTGCAACAGGACTGTCCCTCCCAGGGCTGACCTCCTCTCCAAATGAAGACAGAGAGGAGTGTCTGGGAGATAAGCAGGGGCCATGTTGGCTCAGCTGCATTCTGTGATGCTATGTTATGCTGGGAACCAGCCCTGCCCCTCCCATGCCACTCACCCTGTTCTGCAGCCCCCCAAGTCTAGGGTTGGTGGACACCTTGTCCTCTACGCCCTATCCAAAGAATATCCTGTAGTACCCAGATAAGAAGAGATGGCGTGCCCAAAACCACGTTTGGGAGGAGAGGTAGGGCATTTAGGCCCTAAAGAAAAGAATGTGACTCGCTACTGAGAAGCCCCTGACAATCTGGAATGCTGTGTTCCAGACCACTTTGTCCCTGACTCCATGACCTGGGGCAAGCCCCGTTTCCTGTGTGTCCCAGTTTGCCCTACTGTACAGAGAGGCTGTTACATTGTGATCTAGGCTCTTCCATTGCGCTCTTTCCCAGGCCTACTGCCTGAAGATCAGCCGCCAGAGGGCGCAGCTATTTCAGGCTTGGGTCGCTGCACGGTTGCCGCCTGCCCCGCCCACTTCAGACTGGTGGCCTTGGACTGGGGTGATTTCGGTGGCCAAGGCCTGGAGGGACGATCTGCAGCTCCAAGGCCCCATCCTCCCTTCCCTGCCCCAAACGACTCGCCGCTCCCCTATTGGAGGTGCCAGCCTCTTTGCCACAGTCGCTGCCCCTGGTCCTACAGTCGTCACAGGATGAGGGGAGTGCCTGCATTGGGCTCAGGCTCCTGGGCTCACGGTGCTGGTGGGGGTGGGGACTGAGTTCTGAGTCAGTGCAGCTCCAGCTTCAGCGTGGCATGGCCTTGGAAAGCTCGTAGTTTGCCTGGTGTGTCACCTGGGAGGAAAGGCTCTTTGTCATTAACTCTCTGGCACCTCCAGCCCTGGGGGAGCTCTGGCCGGATCCTGAGGGTGCTTAAAGTTGAGATTCGGGGCATTGTAGCCTACGATCCGGAGGAGCTTGGGGCGGCTGCAGTCGTGCAGGAGGTCATGGTGCCCGAGGGGATCAGGCGGCAAGGCCGGCAGGTGTGGCCACATCAGCGGCAGGAACACTTGCAGGCCGCCACTACGGGGTAGAGCACCTGGCGCCATGCGCACTGCTGCAGGGGGAGTGCCTGGCCTGGTGGTAGCCTGGGACTCACCCAGCAGTGCCAAGCCAGCAGCTTGATGTGCATGGGCTGTGCAGGCCGGCAGGTCATGCCAGGCGGCCAGGAACAAGCAGGAGGCGACGCATTGCAGTCGGTGTGGCGGACCCAGCGGGGCCAGAAAACGGGGCCCAGATCTACCCAAGACGAGGTGAGGCCACAGGAAGCGAGGTCCACCAGCCAGTGGCGCAGAATGCTCGCGGCCTCCCACAGCTCCCAGGCGCCGCTGCTGGTGTTGGCAGCCACAGTGCAGGCAGCCACAGCTTGGCGACCTCCCGGGCCAGCTGGCCGCGGTAGCGCTCCATGCTGTCGGCCAGCTCGCGGCTCAGCGTGCCCATCCGCCCCTCCCACCGTGAGGCTCCTCCTCCGTCATCCAGAAGGGATCGTAGGAGGCGCCCAGCAGACTCAGCAGCCGATCCGGGCGCCTGTGTTTCGGCTTGGGCGCGTACTGGTAGTCGCCAACCGCCCGCGACAAGCCGTAGGGCCGCGCAGGACCCGAGGGCCGGCTGCGGATCAGCTGCAAGTCGGCGTCCTGCGGGGCCCAGAGCTCTGGGGACCGCTCCCAGGACTCGTGGTCCACTTCCTGTTCGTCAGGCACCTGGTTGAAGGGCGCGGCCATGAGTAAGGCCGTGAGCAGCAGCAGGAGCAAGGGGAGGAGGTGGCAGTAGGGACACCCTGAAGCTCCGGTCATGACCGCACGCCAGTCCTGCCTGCCCAGCCGCACTTTCCGTGGTCGCCTCTCTTCCCCTCCTCCCCTGCTATCATATCTGCTCAGCCCTGCCGCTGCCAGAAGCCCTTGGCCCTAGTACTGCCAGCCCAACCCCCTCGAGGAGAGGCCTTGAGGGCAGGGGGCTCCCAAGGAGCCCGAGGCGGCTGGTCATGGATCTCAGGGGCTTTCCAAGCGGTTCTGGGTGTTTCCACGCTACTACTGTCCATGATTCCAAAAAACCTACTGCACTAAGCCATAATCCTACAAATTCCCTTGATCAGGGATCATAAGATCCTACAATGCTAATTATCTCATTCAGTTTTGATGGTTCTGGATTCAGGTTTGGAGAGTCTAGGTCTGATTCCAATAGCTTCAATTCACTGAATCTCTATCTCCAAAATTTTGGGGATTCTCTATATCTGGAGTTGGTAATGCAGGGCTTCAGAGGCACCTCTGAGCCTTGTGAACAGCCCTGGCCTCCTAGGAACTGATCCCAAGGTCTTCCCCAGCTCCTCTGGCCTCCAATGGAAGCTTCAGCTCTGTCAGCACTCTTTACAGTCTCCCCTCCCAGTCAGTTTCTAGAAAGACCCTTCCTGACTCAGGGCAAACTGCCTTCTGCCTTACCACACCTGTCCAATATGACAGCAACCTCCTGGTTATGAATCCAGTCCACTGCACCGCACCCCAGTGCATTTGGCTATGTGCCACTCCTCCAAAGGGTCCAGGCCAGCACCCCATGAATCACATAGCCATTCACCTAGACCTTTTAACTTCTTTGGCTGTTGCCTGGAGAAGAGGTTCTGAGTAGGTTTCTCTCTCTCTGTCCATTTTTTTTTTTTTTTTTTTTTTTTTTAGCAGCTTGATGTGCATGGTCTGTGCAGGCCGGCAGGTCATGCCAGGTGGCCAGGTCATAATAAACTTCTTTCAAAATAAAATGTGCAGGTCATGTCCCTGCTCTAGAACCTTCATTAGCTCCCTGTTACTCTCAAACTAAAGAGAAACTCTTAGGACAGTTTCCTGAACCATCTGGAATAAGTTTAGGGGAGATGGGTTTCTGGGGGTTCACAAGGGCCTGAGGAGGGGGTCCTACCTGAAGTCTGCAGGAAGGGTACTCATATACTGGCTTCCCAGCTCAGGAAAGCCCTTTAAGACTAGGAATTCAGACGGACCTGGTGGTGTACTCCTATAATTCCAGCTATTCTGGAGGCTGAGAGGAGGATCACAAATTCAAAATCAGCCTCAGCAACTTAATGAGATCTTGTCTCAAAAAAAGTGTGTGTGGGGGGGTGCTGGGTTGCAGCTCAGTGGCAGAGGGCCCCTGGATTTAATCCCCAGTACCACACACACACAAAGACTAGGAATCCTGTCCTTGCTTAGTATGGATTGGAGCAGAGAGGGGAGAAGAGAAGGGGTGGAGTCAATGGCAGGGCGGATGGAGGTGGGAGTGTCAGGAATGTGCTGGGCTCTGGGCACCAAGTGGTTAACTACAAAGCCAATCTCAGAGAGCGAGATCAATGGGTTACTCCCAGGAAAGAGAGAATGAGGCAGCAGCAACGCAGACAGGCAGAGAAGAGCCAGGCAGAAGAGCATGCCACCCCGGGGAGTCAGGGATTGAGCACGGGTGGCTGGTGGCTACTCTGGAGGGAGTGCCCAAGCCGGACTCTGCAGACGGGGGCAGAGGAGAGGAGGGGCCTTGAAGGCGAAGGGAGAAGTAGGAGGCAGACCTGTACCTGCAGGGAGGCACCAAGGGGCAGCCGCTGAGCCAGGAGGCAGCCCTGGCCTGGCCGTTCCACCCAGGAGGGCCCAGTTCCCAGGGCTGAGGTGGGTGCTGCCTATTCTGGGCTTGGGGGCTTGCTGCATGCTGGGTCCTGGGTGGGAGCAGATGGTGCCTTTCTTCCCTCCTCCCTGCTTCCCTACCCCAGCTTTTAATCCATTCCTACTCCATTGTCCCAGCATGCAAGGGGATCCACAGGTAGCAGATGGGGATGGGGCAAGGATAAGGTTGTCAGTGGTACCATTGTTACAGCCTCTAATGAGCACCCCGGCCTAGGAGCCAGGGTACAGGATGCACGCAAGGTGTGCCATTCACCACCCTGTTCCCCCTCTGGGCCTCAATTTCTCCATGCTCAGAAAAGACCATATGGTTTTCCTACCTTTGCCCTCGTGGGGAATCTCACTAGACCAGACTCACCAATGACTTGGGGATGTCACACATTTTGCTGAGGCTACCAGCCAGAGAAAGTCCTGAACCCATGTCCAAGGGTCTCCCCTGAGCTTCAGAGCCCCATCGAGAAATAAGGGAAATATATCAAGCTCCTGGGATTGATGCTGCTCCTCCCCCATCTGCCATATCTTCACCCTGTTCTGTTGGTCTTCATCTGCCTCATGACTTGAAGGTGTCCTTCAATAACTCAGAGTCCTCTGCACCCTGGGTCACAGGAGTGTTCCCTAGGAAACTGAGGAACTGCATCCCCCCACCACCAATGTGACTGTGCCAGGGACTTGCTCACCCAGTGGGTCTCAGTGTTGACTTTTGGCTTTGCCCCTCTCCACCATTACCCATGAGCTTCCAGTCCAGGACACCTGGCCAGACCCAGGCTAGGGGAACTAGGGCCTCCAAGACAAGTGCCCAGAGCGGGGGACACACTGCCTGAGGACTCCAGCTTCTCTTCCCCAGGTGTCCATCTGATGAGGAGATGGCTGATGCCCAGAACATTTCGCTGGAGAGCCCTGGAAGTGTGGGGGCCGTGGCAGTGCCTGTGGTCTTTGCCCTCATCTTCCTGCTGGGCACAGTGGGCAATGGACTGGTGCTGGCGGTGCTGCTGCAGCCAGGCCCAAGCGCCTGGCAGGAGCCGGGCAGCACCACGGATCTGTTCATCCTCAACCTGGCCGTGGCTGACCTCTGCTTCATCCTGTGCTGCGTGCCCTTCCAGGCCGCCATCTACACGCTGGAGGCCTGGCTCTTCGGGGCGCTCGTCTGTAAGGCCGTGCACCTGCTCATCTACCTCACCATGTATGCCAGCAGCTTCACCTTAGCTGCCGTCTCAGTGGACAGGTGGGCTGTGCCTGGGGCCCAGCTGGGGAGGGAAGACCAGCACAGATTCTCACTGAACTTAGGAAGGAGAGAATGGGGGACCGACAAGGGAGGTGGGAAGGAGTGCTCTCTGGGCCCCTGCAGGGCATGCCTAAGGGGACCATGCTGCCCCTCCCATCTCCACTATAGAGTCCAGGGGACATCTCTTCAGTCTCAAGAGTTGACATAGGAGGTGAAATTCTTGGCAAAAGAAATTCCCAATGTTTTAAGATATTTTGCAACTGATCATTCCAGGCCCCGGTCATGCTCACACCTGCATCAAATGGCTTGAAACTTGGGGTCAAATCCAGGCTCAGTGCCTAGCTGATAACCTTGGGCAATTACTTGTTTCACCCTTACTTGATTCCGATGTGAAAGAATTCTGGACATCTAAGAATTCATAAAGTCTAAGTGCACGCCTATAATCTCAGGGCCTTGGGAGGCTGAGACAGGAGGATTGAAAGTTCGAGACCAACCTCAGCAACTTATCAAGGCTCTTATCTCAAAATAAAAAGGGCTGGGGGGGTTGTAGCGCCCCTGAGTTTAATCCCCAACACCAAAAAATAAAATAACATCGAAGGGCGATTGGGCCCTTGCTAGGTGTCAGGCTTGGCTCTCAGCACGTAGCGATAGCGCCCTGGGTCCTTAGGATCCCCCCACTGTCAGTCCAGGAGCTCCAGGTCCACCCCGGCACAGGTCCCCTGCGCAGGGGCATGGACGCGGGCCGGCGGGGGAAGGCCGCCGCTGACCCCGCGCCGCCGCCCGCAGGTACCTGGCCGTGCGGCACCCGCTGCGCTCTCGGGCCTTGCGCACCCCGCGCAACGCGCGCGCCGCCGTGGGCCTGGTGTGGCTGCTGGCGGCGCTCTTCTCGGCGCCCTACCTCAGCTACTATGGCACGGTGCGCTACGGCGCGCTCGAGCTCTGCGTGCCCGCCTGGGAGGACGCGCGCCGCCGCGCCCTGGACGTGGCCACCTTCGCCGCGGGCTACCTGCTGCCGGTGGCCGTGGTGAGCCTGGCCTACGGGCGCACGCTGCGCTTCCTGTGGGCCGCCGTGGGCCCCGCGGGCGCGGCGGCGGCAGAGTCGCGGCGACGGGCCACGGGCCGCGCGGGGCGCGCCATGCTGGCGGTGGCCGCGCTGTACGCCCTCTGCTGGGGCCCGCACCACGCGCTCATCCTCTGCTTCTGGTACGGCCACTTCGCCTTCAGCCCCGCCACCTACGCCTGCCGCCTGGCCTCGCACTGCCTCGCCTACGCCAACTCCTGCCTCAACCCGCTCGTCTACGCACTCGCCTCGCGCCACTTCCGCGCGCGCTTCCGCCGCCTGTGGCCCTGCGGCCGCCGCCGCCGCCACCGCGCCCGCTGCCCCGCGAGCGCCCGCCGCGCCCTCCGGCGCATCCGCCCGGCGTCTTCGGGCCCCGCCGTCTGCCCCGGGGGCGCTGGGCCTCGCGGGAGGCTGCCGGCCGGGGGCGGCTGGAGCCGGGAGCCCGCCCGCCTGGGAGAGGCCGGGCGAGCCCTGTGTGCCCGAGGACCCGAATAAACCTTGCCTTTCTGGACTCTGCTGGTATCTGTCCATCCGTCTGTCTGTCGGGCTGTTTCCTGTAGGGCAAGACGCCACTGGGCTAGGGGACCGGGCCAAGGCCAAGAGCCCTTTGAGGAGGCGCTTAGAGGGTGGCAGGACTTATCTAAGCTCCACAGCAGAGCCGCGGCAGATCAGGGTTCCAGCCCAGTGAAAATGTCCCGTCCTGGCCCTGTCCAGAGCCAGCCAGGCAGGAGAGCAGTCCTGCTACCCATCCATCTGGCCCCACCTTTCAGGCCCTGCTTCCTCCATCGTCTGTACCAGTCCCTTCTCTGTCCCAAACCCTGTCCTAAGTAACTGGACACTAGCAGTTAACAGCGAATACTTACAAGCTCTACATTCCTTATTAAGACAGCCTTACAAGGTAAATAGGGTTAGCCTCATTTTACAACCACGGCAATCAAGGATCAGAGAGGCTTAGTGATCTGTCCGAGGTCACATATCTAGTGTTTGGTAGAGTTGGACTCAAGTCCATGGCTGTCTGACCTTTTCTACTACGTGGGCTTCCTTTTCTACTTCCGGGGCCTCTCCTCTCCATTTCCATGCTTCCCAGTTTTTCTCGGTTCTTCCTACTTCACTTTCCAAACCTGCAGCTCCCCAGCTTCCCATAGCTGACTGGATGCTCTCAAAAACTCTGAGAGCTCCCAGTTTTTTTCCTTGAGAGTGTTCTGTAGCAAGTACCATGGCACATGTCTGTAATCCCAGCTGCTTGGGAGGCTGAGGAAGGAGGATCTCAAATTCAAGACCAGCCCCAGCAACTTAGTGAGGCCCTATCTCAAAATAAAAATTAAGACGGCTGGGGCCTGGTAAAGTGTTTACCCAACATATGTGAAGCCCTGGGTTCAATAGCCTACAGAGAGAGAGAGAGAGAAAGAAAGAGAGAGAGAGAGAGAGATCTGCTTGGCTACTCAGGCAGCAGGGCCAGTCAGTCAGGCCTCCTTTTCCAGTCAGTCCTGGGTCCATTCCCTGGCCCAAACATCCTGCAGTATTCCTTTAGCTCTTCAGTGCTCCTGGCTTAGGAAGACACTGAGTTTTACTTGCGGCCCCAGCTGGCCTCCCCACAGTCCTGGCTGCCCTGTGGCCCCTCCCTCCCTGTCCCCACATGCAGTGGGGAAGTCTGTGGCTGTAGAAACCACTAATTAACCAATAAATCAGTCTCGATGGTTCTAAAGCTGCCCCTTCTTCCTCCCTCCCCACACATCAATAATGTTTATTAGCTTTGGGATTGAGGCCTGAGGCCCTGCGGCTTCCACATCTCCCCACTATTTATACGTCCTGGCTGCTGGGACACCCAGGAAGGACCTTCCCTGACAAAACACAGCTGCCACGTCTCCATCACTGCCTGCCACCTGCCACAGACCCAGTGGTCACAGCGGCAGCGGGAGTCTGAGGCCAGGTGGAGGAGCCACACGCTTCCAGGGCCTGACCCAGGCTCCCGCACCAGCCCGGCACTCTTCCCCCACGTCTCTGCCTAGGTTCCCGCAGCTGACTCTGGACATGGCAGTCGGGGTGTTTCCTGGAGGCTGGGGGTGGGATGCTGCCCCCACAAAGCACCCAGTGTGACTGAGCCGTCACCCTGCCCTCTCCTGTGCCTCACCAACCCTGGCAGGAAAGGGAGAGCGTCTCCATTTTCAAAAAGAGAGCTGGTGGGGCTAGGGCTGTAGCTCAGTGGCAGAGCGCTTGCCTAGCATACGCAAGGCACTGGGTTTGATCCTCAGCATCGCATAAAAATTTAAAACAAATAAATAAAGGCATTCTGTCCATCTACAATTACAATAAATAAATAAATAATAAAAGAGAGAGCTGGGGCCCAAGGAGTGGGGTAATATGACCAGGATATTAAACAGAAAATGAATTGCAGGGCTGGGATCACTGCAGGGCAGCCCGGGCAGCCTCAGCAAAACAGGGAAGGGTAGCAGACGAGATTCACTGCACCTCAGACGGTGGGTGCCCGCAGAGTTGACGTGGGAACCTAGTGTCCTAGGTTGGGTGGCAGCTGCTCAGCTCTGTGTTGGCGTGAATAGGTGCCTGGGATGGACAGGAGACCAGATCACCTGGCCAGAGAGCACCCAGACTGGAGTTCGGACCTGCAAGAAATCCCGGAAAGGAGCTGGTCAGAGGAACCCTCTGCGGTGGCCCTGGGTTCTGGGACTGTGCTCAGCTGGTGAGAGCAGTTGTATGGCCCAGGGCCCTGGCTGGCAGTCTGAGATCCCCTGGTTCTGAAGCGGTCTCTCTGGCCCAGTGAAGCCACATGGAGGTCCAGGTCCCCAAGTAGCAGAGGACTGTGCAGCCTGACACATGGCAGACACACAGCAGATACTTGATACAGGAGGACAGGGGCGCCCGGGAAGGAAGACTTGTCCCTGACCTTCTTTCTCTTCTTGATCCTCAAAACATTTGAGGCTTGGGAGAAGACAGAGACAGCCTGCGCTCACCCTGGTCCCTGCCTTCCAGGAGTGCTCAGTCCTACTGGACGTCCAAACGCCAAAGAGAGGACAGCCCAGTAACATGAACACGCCCTGTTCTGAAAGGGCTCAGAGTGGGGAGCCTGCCTTCCCGGGCTGTGCAAGCAGGAATCCCATAGGTGACATTTAACGTGCATTTTTCAGGAAGGAGGTGGGAAAGGCGCACCAGGTGGGCAGCAACCCGCACAAGGCAGGGGGCTCAGGAGCAATAAGTGGGCTCGTGCAGTAGAAGCAGGGGGTCAGCCGGGGAGGCAGAGAGGGCATGTGGGGAAAGCAGGCTTCCAGGAGGGGAGGTGCCCCCGAGAGATGCAGCTCAGAAAGCTGCAGGGTTGCCGGGGACAGGCTGGGAGGAAGGACACCAAGGTCTGTTCTGAGCCCTAGGTGGGAAGCCAGCTAGTCCTGGGCCAGGGCTGGGAAATTATTTTTGCCACGGATGTGGCAGGAAAGTGGATGGCCTGCCGCTGGGCTTGGAGTTGGCTCAAGCGGCTCCTGGGTTTGCTTCAGTGGGTGATGAAATACCTGGAAGAGCAGATGGTTGAAACATCTTGGCCAGGAGAGCTGCAGCTCCCCCGAGTGCAAGGGAAGCAGTGGCACTGGGGAAGGGGTTCAGTGAGCCCTGGCCTCTGCCCCTGAGGGCCCAGGAGAAGGACCTGGTCTAGGACCTGCCAAGTCCATGGCTGAGCCTGGAGCATCTCAGGGATCCAGAAGGAGCAGCCATTTTCTCCTCCCTCTCCCCCTCCCTCCCTCCCTCCCTTTTCTTTCATTTTGTGTTTCAGCTCTGGGGATTGAACCCAGGGACACTTTGCCACTGAGCTTCATCCCAAATTCTTTTTTCTTTTCTTTCTTTTTTTTTCTTGAGACAGAATCTCACCTAATTGCCAAGCCAGCCTCAGCCTCCCGAGGCTCTGGGACTTCAGGTATGGTTTCTACAGCCACAGACTTCTCCACCTCATGTGGGGACAGGGAGGGAAGGGCCAGCTAAGGGCCCTTCTTCTTTTGGTCCTGGGGATTGAACCCAAGGGCACTTAACCACAGAGCCACATCTCTAGCCCTTTCTAAGATTTTATTTAGAGATAGGGTCTCACTGAGTTGCTTAGAACCTCACTAAATTGCTGAGGCTGGCTTTGAACTCACGATCCTCCTGCCCCAGCCTCCCGAGCTGCTGGGATTACAGTGTGCGTCACTGCTTTCAGCAGGAGCCCTGCGTAATGGAGGGAGGTTTGGATTCTGCAGCCCTCTTGCTTTCCTGAATGTGCAAACTTTTCAGGGAGGAGCCCAAAGTGCTCATATCTGGACACCCCTGGGGTGTGTCCGGGGGTTATGGAGCCCTGGAGAGGCCTTACCCTGGTGGCCCAACAAAAAAGACCCTGGAGGTGCCCCAATCCAGCCTTGAAGTGGAAATTCATCAGGGCAGATGGGAAGGAGGAGACAAAACAGGAGCTGGGCTGCCTGGCGTGGGGTCAAGGACAAGATAGGGGAGCCCCACAGGGGGGAGGTGGGAGAGGTGGGGAGGAGTCATGGAGGACTCTAAATTTGATCTGAAATGGAGGCCATACTTTGTCCTGAAGGCAATGGAGAGCCATTGAAAGTTTGTAAACCAGAGTGACTTGATAAGATTTAGGGAAGTGTTTCTGGCTGCCAAGGCTGATTTTCATGGGGTGGCAGAGCAGAGAGAGACATGGCAGGGAGACCAGGCAGGAGGCTGGGTGAGAATCCAGGGAGATGAGATCACCAAGGATATGGCCGTGGGGGGCAGTGAGAACAGGTGAGTCGACTACTTAGGAGGTACAATGCTCGGAGCCTGGTGACAGCCGGAGGACAAGGAGAGAGGGGTCCTAGGTGACACCCAGACTTTTGGCTTGGGCTACTGGGGGTGGCTAAGGGGGGAAATTGGGGGGAAGATGATGAGCTTGGTGGGACAAGAGGAGACCCAGGGGCCTGGGTGACATGCCAGGGGTATCTGTGTGCATACTTACCAGGTGTGAGGCCTATGTGTAGCCCTGAACTTGGGTCTCATCTGTCTTAGAATTTGAAGACAGAGAAACTGAGACTCTGAAAGAGCCAGGATGGTGGGGCTGGGGTTTTAACTTAGGTTTGTTTGACTTGGGGGATGATCTTTAAGGGGTGCAGTGGCAGAAGAGCCCCCCCCCCCCCCCCCCCGTGTAGCGACCATGGCAGGGCTACCCTTGACCCTGGCTAGGGCAGGTAAGGGGAGGGCCCTGGAACAGCCTTGTTAAGCAGCCCTGCTGTGGCTGGCAGGAACAGGGCCATTTATTAGCCTGGAGGCGTGGACCTGGGAAACAAATACCAATTAACCACCCTGAAGTTCTCCATTAATGAACAGCAGTGCCTCAGCCCTGATGAAGGCCTCATTTGTGAGCCGCTGGCTGCATGCAGAATGGTGTGGGTGGGGGGCAGGCGAAGCACAGGTGAAGCTGTTTCTGGTTTAAGGACTCCAGCTGTTGGGCTGAGCTTTTTTTTGGGCACTGGATATTGAACTCAGGGGCCCTCAACCACTGAGCCGCATCTCCAGCCCTGTTTTGTGTTTTACTTAGAGACAGGGTCTCACTGAGTTGCTTAGCGCCTGGCCGTTGCTGAAGCTGGTCTTTGAACAACTCACGATCCTCTGTCTCAGCCTCCTGAGCCACTGAGATTGCCCGTGTGTGCCACGCACCCAGCTAATATTTAATTTTTAATTTTAATTGTGCAAATAAATAGAAATGGAAAACTACATTCAAATCAGCTGTGAAGGAAGGGCAAGTCCTGAACAGAACTCTATGAAAACCCAGAAGAGCCGCTCCCTGGAGGCATGAAGGAAGTGGGACACCACGGGGAGGGGATCTCGGCCTCCAGAGAAGCCCAGGCCCACAGGTCTCCCCTCCAGCCACAGGTGAGGTGCAAGGAGGGCCATGGGTGTGTGTGGGGGGGGCTGCTGGCTACTGGGAGCCTGGTTCAGGAGTCCTCAAGGTCAGTTCCTTTCTTAGGAAACAAGGATGAGTCCAAAATGCCTGGGTGACACTTGAGGCACAGGCAGGGGACCACATCCCCAGGTCTTTTATATTTTATTTTGCAACAGGGTCTCCATAAGTTGCCAACTTAGCCTTGAACTTGGGATTCTCCTGCCTCAGCCACCCAAGTAGCTGGGATTCCAGGCGAGGGCCACATGCCCAGCCTGAGGCATTTGCTTGGTACCAAGTTAAGTGGCCTGTGTAGTGGGGGTGAGGCTGCAGCAGGAGAAAGGGAGCCAGCACCAGGGTGGAGTGCCTCTAGGTGCTCTGAGGTCCTCTGGTGGTCGTGATGCTGGGAAACTCTGGCTCAGGGAACCTGGGCCTGGGAGGCCAGCTCAGAGCCAGGACCGTGTGGGGGAAGCACTGGCTTTGGAGCCATGCTCTGTTGGGATCCTGGCTTCTGCACTTTCTAGCTATGACTTCCCTGGGTCTCAGTGACCTGCAGAATTGAGCTCTGACTGAGCAGAGTCTTATCAGAGGCGCTGGGGATCCTTCACCTGGGGGCTCCCTGTCTGTTCATCCTTATCCCATGGAGGCCCTTGAGTCCAACTGAGGAGATTCAACCCATCGCCTCTGCCCACTGGGCAGATCTACCCCCAAATGCCTGTGTGACATGGACCAACCTCCTGGGCTTCCAAAGCCACAGAAATTTGCCAAGTTCACATGGGTCAGAGTGACTGCTCTGTGGGCACAGCACAAGAGAGTCCTGGAGTCCTCATTTGGGGTGCCAGGCAAGACCCCTTTACCAGCCCCCTTTACCTACCTGCCCGGCCTGTTTTCTACTTAAAGAAGCTGGTCACATCTTCTTGCAGGCCCCAAGGTCCAGTGTGAGCTTCGGGGCTAGCATGGGAGCTAGGGGCTGTAATATCCAGAGCGAGGGATTTTTTTTTTTTGGGGGGGGGTACTGGGATGTGAACCCAGGGGCACTTAAACCACTGAGCCACATCCCAGCCCCTTTTTAATATTTTGTTTAGAGACAGGGTCTCCCTGAGTTGCTCAGCCTTGCTAAGTTACCGAGGCTGGCTTTGAACTCACAATCCCCCTGCCCCAGCCTCCAGAGCCACTGGGGTTATAGGTGTGTACCCCAGGCCTGGTGAGGGACTTTGTTGGGATTACCCCAGACATCATCGGCCTCCTTACCCCAGGGTGGACTCCATGTCTGATGCGGTCTGGGGAGCAGACTGTTCTGGTGGGGAGGACTTTCTCAAGGGGGGGCTTTACCTCAGACTGAGGTCACAGCCAGAGCTGGAGCATTGGGTACCTGCTCTGGGGTAAGGATGCATCTAGCCCCCAGGGTGGAGGTGACAGCTTGCCTTATCTGCTTTTTGCCTGTGGGGAAACTTCAGACCTCAGGACCTAGCCAGCCTCTCAGCCTACTGGGTACCTAGGCCTGGCTCAGACTGTCCCTTCTCCCACCTACCAAAGATCATCAGGGACCACTCCAGATCCAGCCCAGCTCCATCACCTCATATCATCCTCTTTCCCTAGGTGACAAGGTGCCTGCCTTGTCCCCTGAGTATGGGGTGTCATGTGCTCAGGGAAGGGTCAGACCCTCCCTGTCTGGGAACACGGAATGATCACAGAGACAGGGATTCACTTAGCACAGTCCAACAGTCCCCACCAAGTATGTCCCAGAAGCACTGGGGACCCTGGGATTTGGAAACCTGGCAGAAGGAATGCTCAACCCGGCCCGGCACCTCTGCCTGACCTCAAGCCAGTTCCTTTCTCTCTCTCTTCCAAGATGGAGGATACATAAAATAGTGACAACATCTTATTGCAAATATTAAGCCAAAGGGCTTGGATAAAGGGCAGAGTAACTCAACAAACGTCACCCTGCATGTGAGCAAATGTCCCCTGCGTGTGAGAGGGCGCTAGAGGCCAACATGGTGGAAACAGTGGGGACTTCGGGGTGGATCAGGTTCTAGCTCCAGCAACCTGGTGGGGTGACCCTGGCAAACCTGCTTCCCTCTAAGCGGCAGCAAGGCCACCTGGAGCAAGGCCAGCTAGGACACAGGGCTCACACGGGTGACCCAGGGCGTGTGAGGCAGTCTTCACCGGAGGGGGCTCAGCTGCTGCGGAGCTCCTTTCTGCTCCACCCACTGCCATGAGGGCAGCAGCTGCAGAGCTGGCCACCAACTAACTCTGAGGACACCCTCCGCCGGCCGCCTGCTCTCCTGCCCGCCCTGCCCAGCACTCGGGACCACTTGGGTGTTTTCTGACTCACTCCAGTGTCTGGAGCCGACTTCATCTGGCTGGTTTTTCAGACAGATTTGAAGTTATCGGAAATATCCTGGCTGGGATATTTCTGGCAAGGCTGGTCAGCTGGCTGGTGAGTGTTTAATGACTGACTTATCAGGCCCTCTGTCACCGTCTGCATGGCGTGTGGCTGGAAGGGGTGGGACAATGACAGGTGTTGCCTTGGCTCTCCGCCGCCTGGGGCTCCGGGTGGAAGATGCAGCAGGAGGTCTGCCCTGGTGTCCCTGCTGGGCCTGGCTTGTCAGGGCCCAGGACTGTGAGGGGTCAGTCAGGCTGTCCTGGGAACGTGCCCAGTCTCCTGGGGCAGTCTCGCGGTCCTAGCACACGCGACTCTGCAGGTACAAGGTGGTGTCACTGGTCTCAGGCCTGTCTGCCCAGCCTACAGGAGGGCTTGTGCCTTCCTAAGGGCCCCCTAACTGAACTCCTGCACCTGAAGTTCAGCGGCCTTTGTGCTTCAACTCTGTGGAATGGTCAGCCTGGGGGGAGGAGGCCTAGAGAAGCTGGGACCAAGAAAGGGCCCCGCTGATCGAGGTCCACTCCCTCTTGCCCTGCCCACCCTGAGCCATGGCCAAGGTCCAAGGGGAGCCCCTGGAAAAAGGCAAGCTCACTGCAGAGTGTCACCTGAATGTAGAAGGGAGAAAGGCCACTCCCACCACAACTTGACCCCTGGATTCGCACTGTGCTCGCAGCAGCCTGAGATCCATGGAAACCTAGTGTTCCCCCTCCCCCCCTGGGGACCGCAGCACCCCGACTCCCTGGCCTTGCCAACACGGGCTTTGGCTTCTCCTCCCACAGCTTGCTGGGGGCAACCCTGGGCTTGGCCAGTACCTCACACCCCTTTTCTCCAGGGTCTGAGGAGCAGCTGAGTCCTAGAGTTCAATTCAGACCTGAAGCACACCAAGCTGGGGCCTCTGAAAGTCGTCAGGGCTTCTAATCTGGCAAGAGGGCAAGTGGGCAGGCCAGACGAGCTGTGGCCTGATCATCTGAAGTTGTGGCCAAATGCCTCCTTGGAGGGGGCAGGCCAAGGGGTCTTTGGTTTCCTTACAGCAGATCCCTGCCTTGAGGGGCCCTGCCTGCGCCTGTCCACAGTGGGGTGGGGCCTGGAGGATGAAGGCCTCTGGGGTTTGCCGAGCCTCGGCTACAGCCTACAGCACTGGTGTGCCGGGACCCCGCAGCAAGTCACACACACTGAGCAAAGAATGCAAATTTATTCTCTTATAGTTCTGGAGGCTGGAATCTAAAATCAGTCTCACTGAATTAAAGTCCAGGTGTCAGCAGCGCCATCCTTCTGGAAGTCTGGGGGACAGTCCATGGCTTCTGGAGGTGGCCTGCATTCCTTGGCTTGTGACTCCTTCTCGACTCCTTCCCTCTTCAACGTCCTGCTTCCGTCAGCACACCCACTTGCTCTCACCTCCTGCTTCCCTCTTCCAAGGGTCTCTGTGATGGTACCCGGCCCACCTGGGTGGTCTGGGATCACTGCTCTCGGTAAAGACCCTGGACTTCATTGCACCCACGAAACCTGTCTGCAGGCTCCTGACCTGAGGCCTGGGCACCTTGGGTTACCATCAGCTTAGGACAACCAGGCTGCAGAGCCGTCTTACCTTCCTGGTGTTTCAGTGACCGAGAGGGCAAGGAGTGGAGATTTTTTGCTCTGGGTTCGGCAGGGTCCTTCCTAACCTTGTTGGATGTCACCAACCCTCTGTTCCAACCAGAGAACTCCCTGCACTGTCTCCTTGAAAGTTGGGATGAGCCTAAGCCTAAGCACCAGAAAAAGGTACAGGGACAGACAAGGGCCCCCATGGAGCCTGCTGGCCGGGGGTGCCTGAGGGTGCCTGCCCCAAGTCAGCTAACGGCAACAAGCCCGAGGCTGGGAAGGTGCATAGAGAAGGCTCGGCCTCAGGGCCGGACAGGGCCCCGGGAGGCCCTGGGATGCGTGAGGCCCACCAGGACAGCACGAAGGGCCAGCGTGTGCGTGTGGCTGCAGAGCTGGCTGGTGCTGTGGGAGCTGGAGCAGTAGCTAGGGGCTGTGGTCCCGGCCCGCAGAGATGGGACAGAGACTATGGTTGGGAGCAGTTCTGAGGTGGTGGGGAGAACATTTCTGCCCCTGGCCTCTGAGGGCGAGGGCAAGGTCCTCACCAGAGAAGTGTAGCTCAAAGTCCCAGAAACCCGGCTTTTCTTTGTAATGAGAGATCAGAGGGGCGGGGGGCAGTGGCAGAGCAGGAAGCGGGGGCCTCCCTCGCTACCTCCTCTCCATGTTCTGCATCTGCAAACTGAGGGAGGTGAAGCTGGCCAGGAGGTCGGTCACTTCATCCACCTGTAGGAGGAGACCCAGGCTCTGGTCCAGGTGCCAGGCTCCCTGGCCTCCCCGTACCACAGGCTCCGCCCCGGGCATGCCTTTCCTCCCAGGGCACCTGGAGGCTTCTCTTGACTATGGAATAATTTACCAAGGGCTTGATCCTTGACACTAGGTGGCCTCAGGCTGCCACCAAGAGCATGGCTGGGGAACACATCCCAGCCATTGTACCTTCAAAGGAAGGGGACGAGGCTGGGAGGGGCATGGCAGGCTGTGACCACAGGCATAGCCTCTCTCTGATACGAGGGTCTGGCGGCCTTGGAGCAGGGCTGG